CCTGCTGAGACTGTTCTTTTGGGGCAGAAAATCTTGTGGGGATGTGACCAAGGGAGGTGAGTTTTCTAAGGGGAGGGCAGGGTGGGGGCTGGACCCCTCGTGTGTCACAGCAGGGCCGGGGCGGGGCCGGGGCACCGCCCGGGGCTGGGTGGGGCTGTTAGGGCTGCGGGAGGGTCTCCTCCAGCTGACCTGCTCCAGGCTGCCCTGGCTGGCTCCCAATCCGAACCCTGAGGGATCCCACCCCCTTCCCCAGGAGTCCTACCAGGTCAGAGCTGGCTCCCTCCTCCTTGCTGGGGTCAGCCAGCACCACGTTCTCCTTGTTCTCAAAGATGGTCGAGTAGAAGATGATGAGTGCCTCAATGATGCGAGCTTGGTGGGGATAATCCACCAGGGAGGACAGGGAAATGGTGGCGTCCGTGGGCCTCGGGCGCATCAGCGTCGGCCCGAAGACGATGCCCAGGTTGCTTGAGGTCATCTTGTTGTCCTGTTCCACTTCCACGATCCTGGGGAGGCGAGAACTCGTGAGAGCGAGCAGGCAGAGGGGGTGGGTGGACGGGCAGGGCTGGGCTCGAGGGGGGCTGGCAGCTCCGGGGTCCCTCTCGTGGCACACCGAGCTCCAGGGCCGCAGCCACGGCTCAGCTCGAGCCTGCGCTCCCCTTCCCGCTCCAGGGAAGCGAGGGGAGGTGCCTCAGCACCTGCCCTGCTCACCTCCTCAGGTGCTGCAGGAGGTACTGCAGCGTGGCCATGTTCTCCCGGGGAAGCTCCTTCAGCAGCTCCTTCAGCTTCAGCACCAGGTTCACCACCACGGGGTCGGTGTCGGCTCCTTTGTCCACCAGCTCGGGGCCGCCCTTCCCGCTCCTGCCCTTGGCCTCGCCGCCCTGCAGGCTCTCCTTGGCCAGCCCCATCAGCTCGTTGTACATGCGGAAGGGCATGATGGGCTCGGGCAGCTGCAAGGCAGAACAGGGGCAATGGGTGCTGCAGAGCCTGGGACGAGCTCACCCCCTCCCTGAGACCCAGCTCTGTCCCGTGTGGTTGAGCTGAGGAAATCTGGGGCCTTTCTACAGCAAGAAAACTCCCCCAGCGCTTGCAGAACTTGCTACCAGAAGGCAACGTTTATTTATCCATCTCCTGGAGCGTGTCAATCCAGCCTCGTCTGTCCTGGCCAATTAGTACCTGTGAAGCTCAGGCAAAACGCAGCCTTTGATCAGCCCGTGGCGTGCTCTGCTGGGTCAAGGCTACAGGATTCCTCTTTTCCCCTAGAAAGCCCTGGCCCGGGGAGGGCACGGCAGACAGGAGGTTGGGAAGAGGCCATGGGGGGATCTCTGGGGAGGGCAGGAACTGGCACAACCTGCAGCCAAGGTGGGGCTGCGGTGCGGCGGAAGCTCTTGCTTTGAAGTTGGTATAAAGCAGCCAGAGCAGCATGTTGACTAATTGGTGGTTTTGCAGAGCTGGAGATGTTTTGAGTGTGGCTTGCACAGAAAGTTTTGGGGACAGGCTGCGTCTTGCAGCAGAGCAGGTTCCCTCTGCACCAGCACTTTAGAGAGGGACTTTAAACCCGTTTCTCTGCAGTGAGGCGCTGGGTGGTGGCTCAGCACTGATCTCTTTCTCTCTTCCCACTCTGCTTTTCTCTGGAGAAACCACAGAGCCAGTTCAGAGCCTGCCTCTCCTCGTGTGCAGGAAACTCAGGACAAGGGTCCCTCCTCGAGCTGAGCCCGACACACGAGTTAAGGTCAGAGTTCTGCAGAGCTACACCAGCCCTCAGAGGATGGCAGCACCAGAGGGTTAAGCAGCGAAGGAGAAGCTGCTTCCTCTCCTTCTGCCTGGGGGGCTCCTTGGAGGTTGTGGGTGATGCTGTTTGCACTGCCAGAGGCAGAGGGTGCCTGGAGCAGAGAGCACAGCACCCCTCTGAGCCCACGGCAGGGTGACCCGTGGGGCACAGCAGCCCTCTAAGCAGATGGCAGGGTGACACAAGGAGGTACAGGACCCCTCTGAGCCCACAGCAGGGTGACAGGAGGGGCAGAGCCCTGCTCGGGTTGACGTGAGCTCAGCCCGGCTCTGCCTTGCGGTGAGACCCTCACCAGATCACTTCCCTTTTTGGGTGCCTGGTTCCCCAGTTGCAGAGGGGGAGGGAGCACTCGCTGCTTCCGCTCGTTGTTTTTCTGTGGGTACAGACCCACGGCAGCCCCACAGAGGGGGGGTGGCGAAGCTCTGCGAGGCTCCCTGGGAGCAGGAGACCTGCAGCCAGCTCGAGCACTGGTCCCATCTCCACCACTGACCTGCTCCCAGCTGGGAGGCCCCTCACCACCCACGGCCATGTGGTTATTAAGCCCAGTTGGTGCAGAATTGCCCCTGCCAGGGGTGACTCGGTGAAGCCAGGTCTGGTTCTGGGAAGTCAGTTCCTCTGCCCACCTCTCCCCTGTCCCCCCAGCAGAAGGAGTCTCCAGCACTGTACCTGTCTCAGGTAGAGCTTCAAGACGTTGCTGATGTCGTGAGGGGAGGCCTGGGACAGCTCCACCAGCTCCTTCCCATTCTCAAATGCCTGGCAGAGCTTCTCCACGCGGGTCTTGACACCGTTAACCCGGTAGATGCCCTGTAACAGAGAAAAGCAGGGTTGAAGTGAGGAGGGACACTTCTCTTTGTGTTTGCACGAGACAGTGGGACTCTAGCTCCCACCCTCCCCTTCTGGGGCTGGGAATCCCTTCAGAAGTCGTTCTGGAACATCCCCTTCCAGCTCAGACACTGCTGTTATTCCTGCTTCATAGGAAAGAGGGAGGCCAGAGAAGGGAGTTTCCAAGGTTGGAATTCGGGGTGTCAGGGCCCAGTTTATCCCCTGGGACTTTCCACTTTCCTGCCTCCAGCAATCTGAAAAACGAGCCCCTTGCCTTCATGCCAAGGCAGGAGACGATTTCAGGAGAAGGCCCCTGAGGCAGCTGGGCTGAGGGGGAGGGAAGGGACACTGCAGCACCTTGGTTCTCAGCGCCCGCTTCTCAATCTCGGCGACGCACTTCTTCATGATGAAGGGGATGCCGTCCGAGCTGCTCTGAGAAGCCTTTGTGAAGTCTTGCCCAAAAAGCTGCAGCTTCCCTTGGAGTTTCTTGTGCCCGCACTGGATGGCCAAGGTTTCCAGGCACTTCTTGTGGCAGGCCAGGTAGCACTGGAAGACAGGGGGAAAGGCGGGGGTGGGAGGCGGCTGCTGAGCCACCAGGCACCGCTCGGGGAGGAGCACGGCAGCCAGCAGGAAAAGCGCCTGTCCTGGAGACACTGCAGGACCAGTGCCAAGTGCAGGGACCCCTCCCCAGAGGAGGAATGTCTGACAGGTTGCAGCGGGGCTGAGGCACCTCTGCTGGCACAGAGAAGTCAGGCCTCCTGACTGTGGTTGCACCCGTGGGTCTGACCATGTGCGTCAGAGCTCCTGGCTGGGTTCCTCCAGCGAAGCTGCGACAGCCGAGCCAAAAGCTGCACCACCCTCTGCTGCTGCAGAGCGTGTGGCGAGTCACAGGACCTGCAGCGCTGGGGTCACCCCCCTCATGGGGCGTGTCCTCCATCCCCTCCACCCGCTGACCCCTCTTCCCACCTCTCCCAGCGTTACCTCCTCGCATTCTGCTCCCTGGAAGTAGACGTAGCTGTTGCACTCCCGGCACTTGGAAGGGGCTCGGAGCTTCCTCAGCCGGTGAGTCTGGGCAGCCTTGGATAAGCCCACGTTTCGGAAGGGCCCTGTGGGAGCTGCCATCTCTGGGCTGATCCCGTTGATGCCTAAGAGCAGAACAATGCAATGCATCTGCATCCTGCCTCTGAGGAGGTGAGGTTAAGGTGAAGCAGAGCCTGAGCAGGAGGGTCACTGTCGCAGAGCAGATCACCAGCTGGATGCACGAGCTCTTTAGCCTGCAGGACAGGCAGCCCTGGCTCATCTGTCCCCTCTGCTCTGAGCAGAGCTCATCCTGTGGTGAAGGCAGCACTGCTGGGCTCCTCATGGTCAGGGACCCTCCCAGCAGTGGTTGTGTTTATCTCCAGATAAAGATAAGATTGGCTTGATCCCAGGAGGGGTTCCAAAGCCCTGGAGATGTGGTGCTGAGGGACATGGTTTAGTGGTGCCTCCGTCAATGGTTGGACTTGATGCTCTTAAAGGCCTTTTCCCACCCAAATGGTTCTATGATTCCATGATTCTGTGCCCTGTGCTGCCACGTACTCTGCTCGAAGGGGCTGGTGGCCTCGTCCTTCTCCTCCAGCTCTTCACTGGAGGATGTGGTGCCATTGGAAGACAGCTGCTGGAGCTTGTGGCTGAATTCACCTGCCAAAAGACATCCCCCAAGTGAAGTTACTGGCAAAGTTGTTTCTTGTCTGAGCTGCTGGTGGCCAACTCCCCCAGCAAGCAGCTGTGTGGCCTGTGCTGGGGCAGCCCTGGGGAATGGGAGGAACCGGGAGGTGGCCGGGGCTCTGTGTGCCCCGACAGCGCCGTGGGAAGGCTCAGCCCCACCTCCCTCCCTGCCCCCAGCCTGCTGGAGCCTGGCAGCCGAGCAGATACCCACCACCCGGGTCACTGCCAGGTGGATGAAAGGGGGGCAGGTCCCTCCTAACTCTGATGCTGTGGTTAGGCTGAGCTCTGGGGTCAGGCTGAAGCTCTGGGGTCAGGCTGAAGCTCTGGGGTCAGGCTGAGCTCTGGGGTTAGGCTGAGCTCTGGGGTCAGGCTGAGCTCTGGGGTCAGGCTGAAGTTCTGGGGTTAGGCTGAAGCTCTGGGGTTAGGCTGAAGCTCTGGGGTTAGGCTGAGCTCTGGGGTCAGGCTGAGCTCTGGGGTCAGGCTGAGCTCTGGGGTTAGGCTGAGCTCTGGGGTTAGGCTGAGCTCTGGGTTCAGGCTGAGCTCTGGGGTTAGGCTGAGCTCTGGGTTCAGGCTGAAGCTCTGGGTTCAGGCTGAAGCTCTGGGGTTAGGCTGACTGTACATGGAGGGGAAGCGCTGCCTGCCCTGGGCTGGGTTTGGTGTCTACCTGCACTTGAGTCCAGGCTGCTGCCACCTTCAGTAATGGAGGTTGGCCAGGATTTGTGGACCTGGTGTCCCCTGCCAGCTGTGGAGGAAAACACGGATCATTTGGGATTGCTTCCTGCATTCAGGAGAGAAACACGGGAGAAGAGTCTGGACCCGGAGGCACTTGAGTCACTGAAGGAAGCTGCTGACAGGCAGGTGAGGGGGCTGGTGGGGTTGTGATGCCTTCAGCAACACACCCAGCAGGGGAAAGAAGGGATGGGCAGGTGGAGAATGATCTGTGAGGTAGCACTAGACAGCAAAAACACCCCATGGATCTATTTTGTGTCCTTCAGAAAACTCAGCTTGCTGTGCTCAGTGCCCGTGGAGGTCCTGCTGTGGTCCTGGGCGGGGCAGGGTGCCAGGGGGGTCTGGGCTCACCTCTCCTCTCCCCTGCCCCACTCTGCTGCTCCCTGGCTCCCTCCGGGACACCCCCGTCCTTGGGCTCGGAGCCGGCGCCCGTCGAGAAGTCGCTGGCGTTGAAGCTGCCCTTCCGTGTGCGAGTGAAGGGGGACCTGGGGGCAGAGAGGGGGGGAAAGGAACGTCTGAGCAGATGGGAAGGATGCTTGAAGATCTTATTCCTGGCTGCTGTCCACCTCTCATGGGATTTACAGTCCTCTCATAAACGTGAGACAGCCCATCCCATCCACCAGAGGATGTCTAGTTGGATGGCCTCGAGTTGTGCCGGGGGAGGTTTCGACTGGATATTAGGAAGAATTTCTTCCCTGAGAGAGTGGTGAGGCACTAGAACAGGCTGCCCAGGGAGGTGGTGGAGTCGCCATCCCTGAAGGGGTTCAAGATATGAGTGGATGTAGCACTTGAGGCTATGGTCTAGTGGTTAGGGAGATGTTGGGAGGAAGCTTGGACTTGATGATCTGAAAGGTCCTTTCCAACCATGGTGATTCTGTGTGAGGGGAATTCCTGGCTGATCCAGCCCCAGCTTTCCAGCTGCTCCATGCTGGTTTCTGCAGGGGAGCCCGGGGGAAGGTTGCCAGCCACAGAGAAGGTGAGAGTAACCCAGGGATGATCTCCCTGTCTCCTACCAGACGTTGTGGGACACGTAGGGCTCGAAGTCGTACTGGGTGTCGGGCTCGTCGCCGCGCTGCAGCTGCCTGACGTGGGAGGCGTACTGCTGCCCCGGGTCGTACAGCTTGCTGCTCTCACACAGCGTCTGGAAGTTGACGGGCAGCGGAGCCGTCTGCATGTGCATGATCTGGTAGAAGGAGATTGTGGCCTAAAAAGAATGTGCGGAAAATCAGACGTGAGCTTTGTGAGCTGGCACACGCGGGAGAGAGACAAGGAAGCTCCAGGAGAGGTGAGAAATGGGGAGCACGGGGCCTGGTCTGCAGCCTTGAGCCTTGGCCTGTCAGAGCACGAGGGGGTGAGGAGAGCTCTACATGCACCTGGACCTCACCTGGGACAGGGGCACCTCAGCCAGGTCCGGACCTGTCCTGAAGAGGGTACGGCCACCCCCTTGCCCAGGGCTCATTCCAAGCAAGCCCCACTCACCGTCTTGATGACCTGGTCACTCTGTTTGATCACTTCATGGATCTGCCGCAAGGAGTTCACTTTGGTATCCTCCATCTCCTGCTTCTGGGTATTGGCATCTGCCACGCAGGTCCGGTACGTGGCCATCGCCTCTTCTGCCTGAGGATGGGGAGAGCAAGAGATGGAAACAGCTCACAGGTGAGGAGAGCAAGAGCAGCTCTCTGACTTGGAGCCTGGCCCTCTGGGCTTTTGTGCTGTGTCTGAGGATCCATGGGCAGCTCAGCCATAGAACCATAGAACGTTTTGGTTGGAAGGAACCTTTAAAGGTCATCTAGTCCAACCTGCCTGCAGCCCACTCAGCTCGGGGCTGTTCCTGTCCTAAGAGCAGGAGCAGATGCTCAGCACAGGTCTGGAGCTGTCATGTTCCTACCTTGTTCTTGGCTTCCTCTTCCAGGCGTCTCTTCTTGTCCAGGGTTTTGGTGGTGGTGCTGCTGGTGGTGCTCTGCTGCTCCTCTTCTGCTTTCACAGCCATGTACTTGGCCTTGTCGTGCTCCTCGCTGCGCTGCATGTAAACCTGCTTGGCCTTGCGCAGGTTCACCTCGGCCTCTTGCTGCCAAGGACAGTGACCCAGGGTGAGAACTGAGCTCTGCAAGGGGACCGTGATCCCCCACGAGTTCCCCAGCTTCTGCAGCGTCCCCCAGCACAGCAGAGGCACCCCAGGACAAAGCATCCAATGCTACTGGAGAGGGACAAGGTCTGGCGTCCTCAGAGGGGCACGTGCCCCTGGAGTACCCCCGGCTGGGCTCGGGGGGCACAGACCCAGCCCCTGCTGCCTGCCTGCGACTCACCAGCTTCCTCTGCGCCCGGTGCCACTGCTCCTTGATCTCCTTCCTCCGTTTCTCATGCTCAAGGCGTCTCACTGTGAGTGGCTGGAGCAAGAGGGAGAAACAACCCCCACCATGGTCTGAGCTAAACGCTCGCGGCTCCTCCCTTTGCAAAAGGCTTTGCAAGGAGAAGTCCCCTGCAGTGGTGGTTGTCATCCCCATCTGGGCTCCGTCACAGGGAGGGTTTGTGTCACGGATGGAAATCTGCAGCCTGGGAAGTGCCAGACACAGTTTCCTTCAGAAAGAGCCACCCCCTGCAAGGGACATCGGGGCCCTCCCCAGCCAGCGGCGCTGGAGAGCAGCTCTCCCTGGGAGATGGGTGCAGCTGGGGCTGCAGGGAGAAGGTGGGAACGCAGAGCAGCCTCAGATGAGGTGGAGATCGATAAGGAGATGCTGTTTGATTTGCCAGACCTGGGGAGTTTCTCCTAGCCCCTGTGTCTAACCCCTCAAAGGACCCAGCAACTGGCTGAGAGCTTGAGGCCAGAGCAAAGCCAGGGAGTGCTGAGCCCAGCAGCAGCTGGATTCCAGTTTTCAAAGATGTGCCTGTGGCAGAGGGACTAAGGAGCCTCCCCCAATGCCCAGTCCCTGGGGAAGACCCTTCTGAGCTGGCCCTTGGTCTTCTCACCTGGAGGAAGGTTTGGTTCTGAAGGGTGGTGGCAGCCTGCAGAACTGAGGTCCCATGCTCCATATCCTGCTCCAGGGCCAGCAGGTAGATGGACAGGAAAGGCATGTTGGTCTGGAAAGGAGAGAACACACCACTCTGAGCCCAGCACCACAGGGCCTGCCTGCTCCTGAGCCAGCCCAACACCCTGGCACCGGGAGGCTCTAGGGACATGTGGACTGACCTCCTGACTGATGGTTTGCTTGCAGCTGTTTGCCATCTTCTGAAGCCCTTTGGCAAACTCCATCTCTGGAAGAAAAAGGTTGGAAGTGAAAAGATGTATGAGACACTGGGATTTCTCAGCTGATTGGGTTCCTTTTGAAAAATCAATCGGTAGATGAAGTTTGTCACTGCCCTTGCAGTGTCTGACTCCCTCAGCCTCGCTGATCAGAGAGGACCTCGACTGTTCTGGTGCTGCCATGAGGGGCTCAGACACGCTCCAGAGAGGCCCCACCCACCATGCTCCCCATCTCACCCAGCGTGGTCCTTTTCTCCAGGTACCCAATGAGGTCCTTCATGTACTTGGAGATGTTTTTGGCATACTGGAGGGCAACATCTACCCCTCCCTCGCAGCGCTGCAGCGTCACGTCCGCTTCCTCGGCCACAGGGCGGCCTGGGGTGGGATGAGGGGCAAGGTGCAGGAGAGAAGGAGAAGAAAGAACTTTGCTACTGGCACCGTGCTCACTGACCCACTCCCTCCACGTGCCTTCGAGTTCCCAGGACCAGCCTGGGGCCCCCGGACAGCCTGGCTGTGTGAAGCTCCGTGAGCCTCCCCGTATCTGGGCTGGCACCAGGCTGTGCTGCTGTCCTGCCAGCCCCTGGTCCCAGCAGCAGCAGCCACGGGTGCCCAGGACCGTGGTGGTGATGGGGAAGATGCTGTTTCCTGCTGGCTGCTCTGCTCAGCCGGGCACCCCACCACCCCAAACCCCGTGCCCAGAGTCTGCCCGCTTACCTGTGTCATAGCTCCCCATGCCCGAGGGCATGCCGACCCCTCCAGGCCCAGGAATCCCCCCGTAGAGGCTCTCCATGGACTTTGGGAATTGGGAAAGAGAAGGGACCGATCAGATAAGAGGAAGGGGAGTAGCTGGAGGCACTAGTGAGTGGAGGGGAGGCAGGAACCCCGAGCTGCTGGAGCCTTTCTGCTGCTGCTGGGAGTCTGCTGAGCCCAGCCCGAGGCTGGGAGCTAATGGGAATGTCACTGGAGAAGTACCCAGCTCTGTGCACACACAGACCAGGGGGTGCCCACACAGAGCACCCAGAGCTGGTTCTGCCTCTGTTGACAGAGCTGCTCCATCCCTTCTGGAGCCTTCTGGACCAAGCTGCCGGGTGGCTTCTCCCCTCCCTGGGGTGGTGGTGAGGACAGGAGCAAGCAGGCAAAGCCTACGCACAGCTCCACCAGGCTTGGAGGTGAGCTGGGAATGCCACGGCTGCAGCTGGTGGCTCAGCCCCTTCCTGAGTGGGCTCTGAGCACCCTGGCACATCCAGAGACCCCCGTGATGGGAGTGGGCATCACTCACCTGGTACTGGTCACTGAGTGGGATGGAGAGGATGGTGCTGCTGTCCACCTCCCCCATGAGGAACTCGGACACGCTGTGACGAGAGGAACATGGCTGGGCTCAGCAAGGGGATGGCAAGTGACAAGCAGGATTGTCACCCAGCAGCACCCAACCTGTGTCCCAGGGACTGGGCAGGGGCCAGGGCAGTTGGAGATGCAACACTGGTCTCAATAGGGATCAGGATCAGCTCAGCTCCATGTGAGGAGGTCTTGGCAGTTGGGGTGGAGGAGCAGAGCTTGGCCCAGCACTGCAGAGGGGCTGGGAGATGGAGCCTGCGGGCTAGAGCAGGTTTTGGGGTCCTCCTCGGTGCTGGAGGAATCGCTGGTGCAAGTGGCAGGAGCAAATCTGCCCTCCCTGCAGGGTCTCTCTGGTCCCCAAACCACCCCCCACGTGTGGGCGAGGGGGGGAGATGTGTCCTGCCTAGCAGGGGGCATGGGGTCCATCGGGGGCCTTCTCAGGGGGGACGCTGGCCAAAAGCCCCTTACGTGCTGCTGAAGGACACGGCGATGGTCTCCACGGCCTTCTCAAACTCCCGCTTGTCCGTCTCATTGTTGGATTCGTAATGGAAACCTGGAAAGGGGGAAATGCAGGTGCCCTGTCACCACGAGCTGTCCCTGCCCTGTCTCCACGAG